ACATCCTTTGTGCACATTTATTTCAAAATAATGCATTGGACCTGTAAAATCTTACTGGAATATTTTCCGCAATTACACTCCCATATTCTGTGATAAATCTTTAAGTTGATTGTTCCTTGTTTTAATATGACCTTATATCACAACAGCATAAATACAGTGAAAGTCACTGTCTGAAATGAAACAGCTTTTATTTTGTTATGTATTGATGGAAGGGAAGTTGATTGTAAAAGGAAAATGTTTTGTTTTCTGGAATAAAAATACAGAATTTGGAGCCTAGCAATTGTTGCCTGGGGAACATTTAATAATATTGCCATGCCTGCCACATACCAGGGAAATGAACTTCCCAACAATGCCTAGAAATGTGGGATCACTCCCTACCCTTCTTTTGTTTGTCTGCTGGCTTTATCTCTTTGACCCTCATTCTAGTTAGAAAAACATGTTGCTTCAATCTTTTTTACAAATCATTTAAAATGAAAGGAAATCGGGAGAAGGGGAATAGCAGCATCAAACAACCCACTCTCAGGAGTGGAGTCTCTTCCATTGGCAGTTCAGGGCAATTTCCATTCCAGTTCCCTGGACAGCTTTATGGGGAAATGGGATGTTCTACTTCCCTAGTTATCATCTCAGCAAAGGCAATGAAAAACCCCCTTAAGAGGAGGTCAACAGAGTCCAGTATCAAGAGCAGGAGGTTTAAATGGAGAAGAGAGGATGAGAAAATTGAAATAAAGGATTGATTTTGATCAACAATGCCAGTGCTTCATACATATGACTGTCTTTCATCTAATGAATGTACCTCATAGAGGGGGAAAATAAGTCATAAAGACAGCAGATATCTTGTGCATGTGAACTAACATGAATTTCTTACATTCCTCTGTTCAGCTATCACCATGAAAGCAGAATGGCTATCATAATGTTCTACTGTCAATTTTTCTTTTAAAATTTCTGGGACATGTCTTGTCTGAGTGGTGTATACACTGCAATTAGCATTATAAACTAAAATATAGATTAAATCAAACTAGTATGGAGTGTCCATTTGAAAGTAGTCAGGTGTGTTGATTAAAAATGCAAAAGTTGATATTGGGCAAAACCAGGATGTTTTTATGCAATTTTTTCTTTTATGCATGTGGACACAGAATTACCATCCCAAAAAGTAGACAGATACATTTGTGGACAGTATTAAATAGCTACAAAAAACATGTCCCTATTTAGAAAGGTCCATTTACACAGTGGTCCCAGCCTGATTTCTAATCATTATTTGAACATAAAATGCTGTAATTGCTCCTGTGATAGGAGAAAATTAGTGAACTCGGAATGGTTTAGCTAAAATCAGAAACCAGGAGCTGAAAATACTCAGTTTGATGGCAGTATATTTCATGTTATGAATGTACCACAGAGCCCTTGGACTGTTATGCCCTTGCATTACTATTTTAACAGCAGGGGCTACATCTGGGTGGTATATAGGGTCTGCTCCTACCTACCTGCAGCTCCACCAGAGCCACAGAATGGAAGCCTGATAAGAGGAGATGCATTGCTTTGTATGATAAAAGGTACTTTCTTTGTCTGGCAAACCACTCCTTTTGTATGCACATCAACCAGATGGCCATTTCAGTTTGTCTCCGGCTGTGAATCAGACAATATGGCAGAATTAAGGGAAAAGCAAAACCTTCCCCACCGCCCCTCCTCTCTGCACATAAAATTAGAAATCAACAACCTTTAGGGAGATTTTATTTTAATACTTCATTCCTTTGGTAATTTAGTGACTTTTGACTTTCTCAGTCATCGTGAATCACTCTCCTTAAGGTGTGACTAGCTAAATGCTTAAGGACCAAGAGACAGGGAAGAAGGTTCAGAAACTAAGTAACAAAAGAGACGTGAGAGGCAGTGGATTTTTTTTTAAAAAAAAAGTCTATCTGTGTAATTTTGGTGATTTGATACCAAGCACATTTTGCATGGGGAGATTCCTGATGGTGTTACATGGACAGTGACTGCAGTTCTCTTTCCTGTCATACCAAGAGGTCTGGAGTCTTGTAGGATTAAACATAGGAAGTTCTTTGCTGATGGTCTACATCATTTTATCCTACACTGGAGATCCTTCTACAGATTTTGGGCAGCCACATCATTACCCTGTAGAACTCACAGAGAATTTGGAAAACCAATTTGCTTTGGGATCAGGAGGTAAAAGGCAGCTCCCACACTGCTGATAGTTCCCACACAGGTGGGGAATGTTACATGCTCCTGAGATATAAATGTTTCAGCTGAAGAGGAAGAAACAAGGTGAGGAAAGAGGGCCAACAGAAATCTCAGTAAAACTAAGTCTCAAAAAAAGACTGAAATGTCCAACAGGAGTCCTAAAATCTTTTCTGTTGGACTTCCAGGGAAAAAAGGCCTTATGATTTTTACAGAAATCTGCTGTACACATATTTAGTTGCTAACATAATTTAAAGCCTTCTGAAACTGTTCATTTCACTTATTTGGCACAATGTGTAGGATAAAATTTGAAAATAACTAGAAAGAGACCAAAAGCCACTATGCTAGAAAAAAACCACTCTAGTCCCTGGTAGGAGACGGCAGCTCTATATTAAATCCTATATTCAACTGGGATTAATTTTGCAATTTTCCAGAAATATTCAAGCATATACATGCTGAATTTGGCACATCTCTCAACACAAAATTATCTCTGAGTACCAGTAACTTTTGCTATAAACAGTGATAGCCATGTGCAGTTGTGAGAAGACACGTTCTTCATTGAAGCATGTACCCATATTTTAGCAACTGCTAAAATTAAATCCATGGGTTGAACCCTCAGTTTGCCTGCTGTTGCCACCTATTAGCAACCAAGAAATACAAAGGTATTTCTCTACTGTGCAAGTAATAACATTCTTTTGGTTCTTAGAAGATCTCCAAGAATGAGCATTAAACCTTATGTAAAGTTAGGTCCTATGAAATAAAGAAACTGGGCACTCTCAGGATTCTCTCTACAGTTGGCACGAATTCCTATTGACTTCTATTAAAACAGTTTCAAATCCTGTTCTAAACCTTTAGTTAGCAAACACTGAAACTGCATTCACATTTAACTGTGAGGGCAGTTAAGAAGAACACTTTCCCATGCGTCCCTTCTTGGCCAATTTGAATTTATGCCAACAGTGACAATTAGCAACTGCATTTCATGGTTTTCTTCATGTTATATATACCTGATTTAAGTTTAACTTTAACAAAAATCACACAGTATTCCACTTATATGTACAAATTTTGCCAGAAATCATGGGAGGAAAACAGCAGTAAAAAAACATTTGAGAACATTAATAATAGAGTGCCACTCTACACAAGAATAAGGGAATAGATAATAAATAACTCAATTTCAAGAGACTTTGAGATGTTTTACACCTTCAGCCATTTATCCTAAGGCTCTGGAAATCAGATTTGTTGCAGCTGGCTGCTGTTGAAGTGAAAGTAAACATAACAATAGGCAAAAAAAAAAAAAAAAAAGAAAAAAAAAGGAGTCAGATTCTGGAGTTTTGAAATAATTAATGCAAATTCTTATGCATTAACTTGTGTCAAGGAGATGTGAAGGTTAGCAGACATTTTACAAATATTTAGTGAGAGATAGCTTTTATCTCAAAAGTTTAAGGGTCAACTTGCTATGCAAAGAATAGATAAGATTCAAGAAAAAAATAATAGTCATGATTTTTGGGGAAGGAAGGTTTGGTTTCATTAAGAGATATAAGAAAAAACTTCTAAAACTGGGGGTGAACTCTGGAAAGTTGGATGTATACTACCAAAGAAATATCAACTATATGATATCTGATTATAAATTCTCATGAGTACAAAATCGTGATTAAAATATTCCACATTTTCTGCTAATGAGGAAAAAATACTGTGAAAAAAAGTTTCATGAGAGATAGGTGAGTACTTTTAACATTTATTAACTACATGGGGAAAGAGAAAAGGTAGAAAAAGTGAACATTCAAGTATTTATGAATTTTCTCTCCTTGTCTCAGGACTTGTATGCCGAAATTGAAGCACTCACACTAAAGGGGCTTCATTTTCAACAGCATTTGGTACCTATTTTCTTCTTTATATTAGATATCTTTCCCTTTGCAAGCTTAAGTTTTATCTCTTCTTTACTGCGCCTAGGTCAAGTAAGATATCCATTACAGTCCGATTGCTGTGAGATCCTTGAAAAATCTGTGAAATTAAAATACCTCAGTGCAAATCTAAGATCTGTGGGGAATAAATAATTCTGATGAGAAGTTGGTTTGTTTGTTGTCTGTAGAAATGAGACTGTAATAACTCCTTTGCAAAATACCTTGAGATCTGAAATCTTTGAACATACTATATAATAACCAGAATTTGTTATCAGTTAGTAGTGAATTGTTGATACCACTTATATTACAGAAAGACAGAAGATACTTTTCGATGTACAATATGGAATAAACTCCCCAAGGGAAATTCCCTCTTTATTCTTAACATTTTTACCTAAATGTAGACAGGAAAAAAGACGAATAGTATTCTGAAAAGCCTCTGATCAGATTGCTTTTTTTTTTTTAATCCTAGGAGTGGTAGAATTAACATGTTATCTGGTACATGGTAACTGTTTTACTTGGAGAAAGAATATATTTGCCAGCATAATATCTACATTTTGATAGTCCTGCCATATAAATCTGATGCGCTAGGTCTCAAATGCAAGCACAAAAATCTACATACCCATCTTTATCATAATGATTACAATAAAAAGGAGGAAAACCGTTGATTTGCTTGATAATTTACAAAACCAAACTTTATAGGCAGGAAATTTTTAGAAAGGTAGCTGTAAATCTCAGCACAGTTCTCTTATCAGGTGACCTATAATCTTACTCTAAAGTCACTTCAAACCTATGGAAGAAAATCCCAAAGGTCAACAAAAGAAGTCATTTTTCTTCTTGAACTGGCATGCAATTTTTATGTTAAATAAAATTTATACCCCTATATAAACAGATTGCTTAAAATTAATGTCTTCCTACCTTTATCCAGTTATCTTCTCATGGTTTTAAATAATCAGAAGTCATAACTTATGGTATATGAAGACTTGAGGATTTTATTTGTTATTTTTATTCTTGAGCATGGCTTCCAAGGAGGTATGCATAGCCTGCAATGTGCATATATATCTATATCTATATCTATATCTATTTGTCTGTGTATATGTGCTCTCTCTAATAACCAGTGAGCCTCTGGAGACAAAGCACCTCTTGTGCAGTTCTTAAGTCCATGAATAACCTTAAGCACATGACTCATTCTCTTGAGTGGGATATCTCATGTATTTAAAGTTGCATACATGTTAAAGTGATTTGATGGATCAGGACCAAAACAAGTAGGGTCTATGGGAATGTGGGATCAATGATGTTCTTATTGTAAGACTCATTAACCCTGGTTTTTCATTAATTTTAACAAAGCAAAGAGTTTCTGATTAATGGGAATTCTTTAAGGTTTATTTTAATTTCTTTGATTTCGTTCCATTGTGCATGGCCCATTTTTATGCCTGTGTTTCCAAGGAAACAGTTGTAAAATGGAATTTGATATGATGTGTTATCAGGTTCCTTGTCAGCAAGTTTCAAGCGATAGTTATGAACTTGACAAATTAAGTTAAAAAAAATTATGATTCGAGTATTAAGATAGAGCTACATGTACAATGTTTGTTGTCGTCTGAATTACGTTCTAATATTTTCATTTGTTTGGGGACAGAAACTGTTCTGATCACTGGAAGGAGGTCATAGTATTGATAGCACATACACAATATACAATGTCTGCAATGCTGAAATCAATATTTGAAACTGCTGCTGTTTTGATTCCATTAATACAATCTCAAGAGGAAGTACATTGAGTTAAATCAGACTGACTGCATTTAAGAACTCCTTTATCTTCACTGATGGCTAACTATAAAAGGAAAGTGAAATCTAATCAGGACCCAAGTCTTATGTAGCAAAATCCAAGTAGGGGTTGTGTATGCAATAAGTCTAAGAGAATGGCTTACTTTGGATGATATTTACAATCTGTTAATTGCTGCGCAAGCACAAACACAAATGTTTATTCCAAAACATTTGTGCAAATATATGTGTTTTAGAGAGCAACAAACAAACTGGGGTTCTGTTCCTCAGCTTCTTTATTATTTTTATTGCAGTAACAAGGGTCCATTGAGTAAATACACTAGGCCAAAAAAAAAAAGACTTCTTAAAAAAGACTGTAGATCCAAGTTTGTGTTTGTGACGTTTTTCACAGATATTGACCTCAAGAAAAAGATGAACAGGAAACTCCAAACTTGTACTGAGGACTCTTGTTTCACATAATACTGTTTTTTGATGATACTTGCAAGTAAAAATATTTCAGGAATGTTTCATCATTCTATTGAGAACAGCCTTTTTTTTTTGAAGCAATCTCTATGGGGCAGTTACCTTGACAAGCCTGAGAAGGTAGGCAAGACCCTGAAAAAAATAGAAAGACCTATGCAAACAATGTTAAAACCATGGTTTGAGGGAAGGAAAATAGGAATTTGTTACTGAAGCATATTCCAGTAGTGCTCCCCGACTTAGTAGGGAAATTACTTGGTTTAGTTTTAATACAACTAGTATTTGTCTTTCAGATACTTAACAGAAGTCATGTCAGGATTTGCAGAACTCTCATATCACATTTTATTTTTTCTTTTGTCTGTGCATCCACGTGAGGCATGCCAGGAGCTGAGACTTTGACCTCTGGTATGTGACATGCCCTGCCCTGAGGTCATGGCCTCCCTGTTGACAAGATGTGGGACTGCACCAAAGCCCAACTATGCTCTCACTGGCATCTGCACTCATTCTTCCGTGAAACTTAGGGTGCTGGCAAGAACAATAAGGGCTTTTCTCCAGCACCAGGATGCAGATAGGACATTAATTTGAACCCACAATATCAGAAGCATTCCTGGTTCCCTACATTTATAGGTCAAGTGCCAAACCTTAACAGGTTTGGGGAAGGGGATGGGGAGGAAGTTAAGTAGAGACTAATGAGCAGGATTGTGCAGGAAACTTTAGGCCAAGCAAGGAGTCAAAGCTGCTTTTCCTTAACTGTAGGCTACTGTCTTAATGTCTGATCTTCTTCTCTTGATTTACAAGTGACATGTAAATGGAAATGAAAAAAAAATCTAAATGTTTATTATTGAAATGTTCACATCTTCAGAGCACAGAGAATTTTCTGAATTTTTTAGTTCAGGTTTTGTAAATTTAGAGGCTACTACTACCAAATGCTACCCTTTTTACACACGAGAAAGTTACTGTTCTTGAACTTTTAGAAAGTGTGATCCTAAGGAAGATAGACTTAACACTGGAAAAACAGAAATTATTTCCCTATAGACTAATCTGAAGTGTTTGAGGCTGTCAGAAATGTGGTATTTTAATGTTTTTGAAGAGGTGGATTTCTGACCAAAGGTAGGTGAGGTGCCAGAGGTGAATTAATTTCAAACATGGTCCTGCATGGAGAAATCACCACTCCTTGTACAGTTACATGTGTGTGGAGACACACACACACATACACACACACATACATTGTGAATTTCTTGTTTTTCATGTATTAAGCCTAAAACCAGTTTATGTTTTTCCATTAACAGTTTGAAGTAAGTTAATTTAAAATCACAGTAGCAGGACTTGGTGAGGCAAGGGTGGAGTGTATGCTCTCAGTTGTAGAAGCAAGTCTTTTCATTAAAAATGGCTGTAGTTATATTCGTCTTAGCCTTTTCCCTTTAGTAACAGTTTATAAGAAGGAAAAGGAAAACGATTCCTCTTGAAGACAATTGAACCTGACATAAAAGAATGTAAAAGCTTGAAAGATGGTCTGATGCAGAAATACATATTTCAACAATTTGTAAATTGTGCATTATATACTCAATGAATAATTTTGGTCTGTTTACCAAACATGAATGTAGACAATTGTTACTGTACTATCATGTCAGTCCATGAGATAGAGGCATTATATTTTTGATACAAAAATGCACATTGAAGAAACAGAACCAAAGAAAGAAATACTTGCTGCTGTTCAAGCATTAATAAGAGCTGTTTTAATGTTGTTAGAGATTAGAAGACATCTCATTTGAGACAACTAAAACTTTTCAGATTCTTTTCCCTAAATGTATATTATAAGAGTGCAAAATGCATTCGCATATGATGTGTTGTTATCTTGTCTGTCTCTTTTTCTAATTCTGTCTTTTGATGTCATTTAAAAATGGCTAGGGGAGTGTTTTGAAGGCTTGTAAGAAAAAAAAACTGCTCTCATTTCCAAGACAAGTCTTGCTATGAAGTCTCAGGAATCAGTTTGGGTGAGTTATCGCATATCCTTTAAGAAAATGGGAATACATGGGCTATAACAGCTCTATTTAAAATAGAAAATCTACTCTGTGTGTGTGTATGTGTGTGTGTGTGTGTGTGTGTGTGTGTGTGTGTGCAGGCAAACATGGCATTCAGGAGAGTGAAATGAAATGAGCCAGAAACTTCTCACATTTTCCTGGCATCTGTGGCGTGTCGCCATATGAGAACCATATGACTGCTGGCAGATTGGCATGTCAGCTCAAGCATGTACAACTTGACCTCACGGAGCTCTGTGTTTATCAGTTTATAACAGGAATATTGATACAATTTTAGCTGCAGTCTTTCTGTGCAAGGACACTTCATCCTTTCACAGTCCTAATTCTCCTTTGCTAAAATGACAGCACCTTGTTTTTGAAGTTGCTTTTCCACTTGGGGGAAAAAAAAAAGCAAAGGCGGCAGAAGACAGCAGAAAGCTGCTCTGTGTGCCAGAATGATGTTTCATTCATTGTTTTGTTAACTGTGAAGTCCTTAGTGGAGTTTGTCATGGGATTGCCTGGCTGACTTGCACTGGTTTTTCGGTTGAAAACCACAGCAGTATTAAAAACAGAGGTGGAGGCAAAAATCTGGAGTATTGTTAAAGCTGCAAGTTATCACTGAGATATCTGTACAGAGCAGTTCCAATGTTTATTCACTCAGAAGAAGGATAAAATGATAATACATAACAATGTGGATGGGCAGGTTTTCACTTAAAGTTTGCTTTAGATGTCCTCATCTCCAAATGAGTGGAATGCAAGCATATATGTAGTTGCCACAACTTATATATATGCTGCTAAAATTAGAATGGTGAACACGATGTAAAATCTGAGACAAACAGCTCTCCATCCAGAGTGAGAAACTAGATAGAAGTGTAATCATAAATCTGAGTTTACTTCAAATATTCAGATGTCATACAAACTTGTCTGGTTGTTGTTTATGGCTGGTGAGAGTTGGTAACAGTGAAATGATGTAGGTGCAGCCCAACCATGACCTGGATTGGAGACAAATAAAAGGTATAAGGGTACTTTTGACCATATGACTTCATTTAAACTGCCTCTGTCACCACATTTTCCTTCAAGAATAAGAGTATATCTTCGATCCTCAAGCACTTAAACATACACTTGCGCTATGACTTGTTCCACTTAACAGTGTGGAAAAATGATGTACTGAACATGCATCGCTTCACATTAGCGCCCGCAACTGCACTCACACTGCCTTTCAGAAATAACGTTATTCATATCTGCTCAAGCTTCCTTGAAGGTTAAGCTTTAAACTGCTGTGATTTTCTAATTTTCTCTATACTGGCAACTTAATTAGAATCTCATCAGAGCAGATTCTAGAACTGACATTAAAACTTTCTCACCCACTGTCTTGACGAGAAATGTTATAGAGACAGTACCATAATGACTAGTTTCTTTGTAAGGACTGGCATGAAGGGTAGGTGGAAAATCAGTGAAGAACAACATCAAGAATTAATTAGATAACACCCTGAAGAGAAAAAAGAAAATGAGAAAAATTTTACTTCTTTGTTTTTTAAAAAAAACAAACAACAAAGAACTAAAGAGAGATCTAAAATTTCAGTTCCCCCAGAGACATTACAGGATACATTACGGGATACAAGGAAACATCCTGCCACATGCAACTATATATTCCTATACAACAAATAGGAAATTTATGGTGATCAAAATTGCCATTTACAATGTCCTTGAGGGAATTTATTAGAAAGTCTAAAATAATTGGATGTATTTATAGAATTTCATTCAACAGTCTTTTCATGCTGATGGATTGGAAGAAAGACTAAAAGAGAAATAAAAAAGGGAGGGAAAATGGCTCTGTTCTGCTGAAAATGGAGAGCTATTTATTTCTAGTTTGTTTTGGCAGGTGACGTTTGGCCAGAAAATCTAATATTGTGGTAAGGCCAAACGTTTTGAGTTTACCCATCTGTAACCTCCACACAAGCTACAAAATTTTAAAAATTCAAAGTTTCAGAATCTTTTATGCATGGTGAACTCTGATTTAGTTTTCATTATCATCTGTAGTCTGAATCTCTGCTTATAGCCTGA